TTGTAATACATGTTTGGTAATTAATTTTAGAATATAAATTCATACCCAATCTATTTGGAAATTATTTTTTTACATTATATGCTATTTGTATGGTAATTAATATTCTTTAACGTGATTAAATATTTGTGTTAATCTATCATAAATTTTAAATTAATATTCTATCATGTTGTTACTCTTGAAGTAGCACTACATTGTAATTAATATTTTAGAAGAATATTAGTCGAAGATCTATCGATTAGAAATAGTTTGTTGATACTCCTGAAGTAGCACAATGTTATAATTAATATTCTTAAAGAATATTACTTGCTTCTAAAAAACATAAATTATAATTTTCAATATTTTAGAAGAATATTGATATATTGCTCTTGAAGAAGTAATAGTAAAATACAATATACACCCAAAGTAACACATGTTTCGAAAAAACATATTAGTTTAGTGTTTATCCCGAAGGAAAATATGTAACTTATGTCATGTTGATATTATTACTTAATTAACTATTATTTTATGTTTAATTATATTCTTTGAAGCTAATTGTATTTTCTTTATTGTGTAGTTAATCAAATGGCTAACATCACGAAATTTGAGTTTGCTGCACTCGATATATCTAGTAAAACTATCTATCATGGATATTCAATGTTGACATCTATTTTGCCTCAAATGGTTTGGGAGAAATAATAAAAGAAAAAAAAAATCCCTGCAGGATCGTGCAAAAACACTTATATTCCTTTGTCATCATCTTCACGATGGACTGAAATTGAATATCTCATTGATAAAGATCTATAGGTTTTTTGGAAAAAAAAATTAACTGAGAGATTTGATCATTAGAGGACTATAGTCCTCCACAAAGCCCGCTATGAGTAGATACAACTTCGTTTGCAAGATTTCAAAACTGTTAGTTAGTACAATTCTGAATTGTTCTGAATATGTTCAAAATTGACATTGTGTGAAGAAAAAATCACCGATGAAGATATGTTGGAGAAAACGTTTTTCACCATTCACGCCTCAAATGTGCCCCTATAGCAGCAATATCTGGTTTCAAAAAGTACTCGGAACTTATATGTTGCTTGCTTGTTACTGAACAGAATAATGAATTATTGATGAAAAATCATGGGTTACATTCAGCCAGTTCTGTACCATTGACTGAAACAAATGGTATTGCATTGCTTGAAACAAATTCAATATTAAGACAAGAACGTCAACATTAGAGTGGATTTGGACGTGGACGCAGATGTGCACGTGGAGTAAACCATGGACTAAATAATTAACAAAGTTATCAATAACAATGCAACAATTTCAAAAGGCATAAAGCAAACGAAAGTAATACATCTAAAAAGGTGTACGAAAAAAATTGTTTTAGATGTGGAATGAAAGAATATTGGACACGTACAGGTCTTACGGAAAAACATCTTGTGGATCCCTATCAAAAATCAATCAAGGAAGAGGGAAAAATGGAAACAAATTTTGCTGATTATGATGGTCCAATTGATGTGACTCATTTGGATGTCTCCGATTTTTTTGCTGATCTAAATGGAAATATTAACTATTTGATTGGAGGTGGTGTGATGAAAGATATAAATTAGTTTTTTCTATGTTTATAGTATTTCCCTTCATTTTAGAAATTTAGTTTGAAATATGTTTTTACTTTTCGTAAAAATTTTGAACTTTATTATGCAGTGTTAATTTCACAATATTAATTATGTTTATCATTTTGAATTTTAATTCAAGTTTTTTAAATATATCTATTTTGTTATATTGATAGATTCATGATGGATTGTCAAGATATCTGCTTAATTGATAGTGCAACTACATATACTATTTTTCAAAACAAAAAAAATTTGGACTTAACATTAGAAGAAAATAATGTCAATACAATATCAGGTGCATTGAATATCGTTGAAAGCTCTAGAACAACTTGTATTATTTTACTTAATAATACAAAATTATATATTGACAATGCACTTTATTCTAACAAATTCAAAAGAAATTTACTTAATTTTAAAGATATCCGTTGCAATGGATGTCATATTGAGACGACGTAAAAAAATAATGTCAAATATCTTTGCATAACTTCTTTTGTATTTGGTCAGAAGTAGATAAAAGAAAATTTTCAAAAACTCCTATCTGATATGTATTATACATTTATAAAAATGGTTGAATCAAATAATGTCACGAACCAAAAGTTCGTTGACCTAAAAAGTTTTATACTTTGGTATGGTTGACTTGGACATCCAGGAGCTATAATGATGCGTCGAATAATAAACAACTCACATGGACCTCCTTTAAAGAAGCAGAAGATTCTTTTATCAAATGATTATCCATGTGTAGCTTGTTTGCAAGGCAAGTTAGTCATTAGACCTTCGACTACAAATATCAATATTGAATCTTCAACTTTCTTGAAAAGAATTCATGGAGATATATATGGGCCAATACACCTATCATGTGGATCATTTCATTATTTTATGGTATTAATTGATTCTTTTACTAGATAGTCACATGTTTGCCTACTTTTCACTAGGAATGTAGCTTTTGCTAGACTACTTGCTCAAATTATAAAATTACGTGCGCAATTTATCGATTACTTAATTAAAACTAGTCGCCTTGATAATGCAGGTGAATTTAGAATACAAGCATTCAATGATTATTGTATGTCAATTGAGATTGTAATTGAGCATTCCGTTGCACATGTCCATACACAAAATGGTTTAACGGAGTCGTTTATTAAACATCTATAACTTATTGCTAGACCATTACTTATGAAAACATGACTCACAGCTTCTATTTGGGGTCATGTTATATTACATCCTGTATCATTAGTTTGTATTAGACCAACTGCTTATTATCAATATTCACCTTTACAATTGGCATTTGATCATGAACATGATATTTCTCACATAATGATTTTTGGTTGTGTAGTCCAAGTCCCCATTTCACCCCACAACATACTAAAATGGGTTCCCAATGAAGACTTGGGATTTATGTCGATTTTGATTCACTATCAATTATTAGGTATCTTGAATCTTTAATGGGTGATTTATATATTACACATTTTATGCGAAATTGAATTAAATTCCTTAGATAAATGAAATTTATTTGGACTTGTAGTTCGAACACTTGAAAATGTAATTCTTGTTGAATACAAATAGATTTTTGTACGAAAGAGAAATAAAAACAATGAAATTACAAGGTACAAACATTTTCAATTAAATTGCAAATATCATTATATGGATTAAAACAATCCGGATGAATGTAGTATAATTGACTTAGGGAATATTTGTTGAATGAGGGTTATAAATTTGACGATATCTGCCCATGTGTTTTCATAAAGAAAACAAATAGTGGATTTCCAATTGTGGAAATTTATGATAATGGTTTAAATTTAATTAAAATTCCTAAAGAGCTCTACAAAACTGCTAATTATTTGAAAAACAAATTTGAGATGAAGGATTCGGAAAAAATCAACTTTTGTCTCAGATTGCAGATTGAATATTTCATAGATGGATGATTTGTTCACCAATTTACGTATACAGAAAAAGTTTTAAAACGTTTTTATATAGATAATGCACATCCATTAGCATCACGCGTGGTTGTTCAGTCACTTCATATGAGAAATGATCCATTTCGTCCACTTGAAAATGGAGAAAAGGTTCTTGGTCCTAAAGTAATATGTCTTACTTCAATTGACGCATTAACTTATCTTGCGAATTGCACTCGATCCGACATAATTTTTTCTGTAAATCTCCTTAAAAGATATAGCTCTACATCAACTCAAAGACATTGGAATTGTGTTAAATATATTTTACGTACCTAAAGGGTAATATTGATTTGAGATTATTTTATTCTCAAAAGTCAGGATCTATTTTAGTGGGATATGTAGATGCAAATTACCTATCTGATCAACATAAAGTTAAATCACAAATAGATTATGTGTTTACAGGTGGAGGAACGACTATATAATAGAAATCTGCGAAGCAATCCTTGACAACTACATCCTCAAATCATTCTAAAATTATTGCAATCCATGAAGTAGGACAAGAATGTGTGTGGTTGAGAAACATGACCCATCATATCCAAGCATCATGCGGATTAATTTTAACAAATGATAGTCCAACAATTTTGTATGAAAACAATGCAGCTTGTATTGCACAACTCAAAGGAGATTATATCAAATGTAACAAGACAAAACATATTTTTCGACAATTCTTTCATACACATGAGTTTCAAAAGAATGACGACATCGATATCTAACAAATTCGCTCAAGTGACAATGTGACCGATTTATTCACAAAAGGCCAACATATATATTCAAGAGATTAGTTCATGAGATTGAAAATGCATCGACTCAAAAATCTTCGGTGATCAACATCAAGGGAAATAGCTGTACTCTTTTTCCTTCGCTTAAATTTTATCTCACTGAATTTTCCTAATAAGATTTTAATGAGGCAACTTTTGTTTTTAATACTCCAAAATAACTGTACTCATTTTCCTTCGTTTGATTTTTTTGTCCCAATAGATTTTTTTTTTTTTTTGTTTTTCAAATAAGATTTTAATGAGGCAAATATTTTGTAATATATAATTCAATTGAGTGTTGTAAAAGGTAAGATTATTTGAGTTTAGATGTGAATGATACAGCCTTAGAAAATGTTATTGTTGTGTATTCCTGATTCTGCCCTATAAATACAGGACTTTGATTTTTAATAAAATACACACAAATCTATTGACTTTTCTTTATTCTCTTCTTTATTCTTCTCTTTTCATAACAAAATTTACTCTCATTTTTTTCCCTAAAACTTTGTCAAGAAACCCCCGAGTGAGAAAAAATATCTACCATAATGCTGTTGTTTCTTTAGCCAAGTGTTCCACTCGTAACATTGGATCAGTTTTCAAACATAAAATGTAAATATATCCAGTGAAAATTTTAAAACATGTTAACTTTCTGCAACATAATTGAGAAAGAAGATAATTAAGCAACATAAATACTAAGCAAAAAGTTCGACCCACAGTTCAATGCTAATCCGACCACTTTATTTAATTTCAACCAATAATACATAGATTTTAAACAGAAAACTAAAGAATACAAGGAAAGAAGCGGAACAGCTCAATTATTTTAAAAAAATAAAAATAAAAATCTGCTAGCTTGTTGCATATTTCCTAAAGAGGATCAATGGTTTGATGAAATAGAGCACAATTTGACTAGAGTAATTATAACACTTTCCAAAAAGATAGTACAGAAAATAGAAGCTAAGCTATTAATCTAATTGCAGTATGGTTAATGAAGAGCTTCCATTTAAGGCTACGTCAAATTGAACTACACAAGAAATCCATATAGGTGCTTCAGCTCCACAAGTTTGCCCAATAAATGAGTTTACTGCGAAGAGTCGTTCATTTACCAGAATTCCTAAAAATGTTGAGTGCGTTCATTCGTTGCATCTCTTTTCCTGCAAGCCAAAAGAAAGAAAGTACTAAGAATGCAGTAGTATTTTTTATGATATGCACATTACAGTATATTGAAAATCATGTTGACTAAAATGTAGTAATTCTAAAGATCAGATAATTTTAACCCTGCCAATGAGTAATAGGTTTGCATATCAATTAAATAACATGAGCCATACCTGTCTAACAAGATCAGTTCATCGCGTTAACGTATGTTTAAGGCATTGTTCCATATTGTAGATGGTGACTTGGGCAAAACTTGCAAAAATCGTCCAACATCTAAGGACTGAATGATCCAGTTTGACTTTCATGATCGAATGGTATGTAGATGACACTAGATATAAATCCAAAAAGAACCATCAACTGAACCATGTGGAAGTATATTGTTCAACTCTGGAGATAAAGAGTAAATACTAAGTCATATAGAGAAAACTAACATGAACTTAGGCTTCACAAAGGCATATCCCTGATGCTGTGTCATGTTTTGGCAGAATAGTTAGATACTTGAATCTTTACAAGCGGGTTCTTGGCTATCAAACTTTTGTTCTTCCTTTTTTCTAGCTCTAGTATTTTCTTATAGAATCCAGGGATTTCACAGTAATGGACATGAAATGATTTAGTGGAGACGTGCTCTGATGGTCATTGCTTAGGTTATTTTGATGCTGCAATTCCAGAATTTTCGTCGACCCTTTTCTATCTTGGTAGTGTGTGGGGGATAGAGTGGTCTTACTATCTCATTTGCTCGCAGAGGCAGCTGGTTATTTTCATGGTCATACAAAAAAAATTCCCATGTGCAGGAAAGAATTCTATTTACTACTTCCAGGCCATAATACATTTTTGATTATTCCAATGCCAAGGTTCAAAAACACCTATGCCTTATCCTAAATGGAATGGAACGACATAGGGATCCATCCATATGTAAATACACTATATAAAACACTATTCAACCATTTTTGCTTGTGCTAGTGCCCCCAGAAATTCTTGGATATCTTGCTATATGAGATTGAATGCCATAATTCTCTGAAATTGAGGGGATTTTATCCTCCACCTTTGTATTTTCTCCTTAAATAAGTTATCTACTTAAAAGATGAGAATGAGTAAGACAAAGTACAATGTCCAGCCTTAATACTAATGCATAATAAGCCAAGTCTTATAAAAACCAAACCATCTTAAAAACCAAACTAAGCCTTGTAGTCAATAAATTTGGGGCCAGCTACAATAATCCATCTCCGTCATTCCATTCAGTTCATTGCTAGATGTGCTTGAAGATCTAAAAACCTAGATCCTTGGCAACTACTACGGATCAATTTAATTTTGGTCTACCTTCCCTCTTCTAGCATAATTCCCATAATTTTTATTTTTATTTTTTATGGAAAACATGTCCCAACTACCTTGTCCCCAATTGGATCAACCTCCACTTGATTGTATATACTCTCATTTCTTATCCCATCGATTTAATATGATCGTATTTTCACATGTCCATCCATCTTTAAAATCTTCATCTCAGCTACGTTCATCTTAAGAACATTTTGTCCTCTCATAATCCAATGTTAAGTACCATAAGGCATAGGAGACAATAGAAATAACGCCATAGGGTTCTTTCTATCATACAGAATTCCTGTAGCAATTTCTCTATCTCATCCAATCACTCTAATCCTATGTATTACACCCTACTTAATTCCCTGTTCCTTGTTAAAAATCAGATCTAGCTAAGTAAAAAAATGGGTTTTGTGGATAACATTATACTCTATGCCGACTTTACTATTACCATTATTCCTATTATTACTGAAGCATTGCAAGATTTATATTGCTATATTGTGTTGTTCTACTCAACAGTAAACCTTTAGATTCCAAAGTACACCAAAGTTCTAGCTTAGAACTTAACCCCATTTTTGTTCTCATCAAATAGAACCATATCATTAACAAATAGCATTCAGTAAGAGACCACGTCTTATATGTAACCAACTAAGTCTTATCATTTAGAGTTGACCACATGAATCCAATATCGTCATTCAGTTCAACCCAAACTCATAATCTCTTTCAATACACTATCGTATCTTTGTCGTCATCCATATGTCAAAATATAATTAAAGGGAAGTACAAAATAAACCCTATATGTGGGGTGTATTTTGTACATTTTCCTTAATTGAATCGTAGACAACTGAACAACAATCGAAAATCAGATTGCACAAAAAAGTGGAACCGGGAAGCGAAATTGGAGGAGTTAGTTCTCTTTGAAAGCTATGAATTGTAGAAAGCTCATATGACTGCAATTCCCTCAGCCTACTGACCCTAGAGGCCAATTCTGTATCAATGTTAGTCATGAACAATAGCTAGACAAGTAAACTGGCATGCAAAAGAAAACAGAATGAATCCACAAACATTTTCCAGCTATTGGAACTTCGTAGGGTAGCTCAGCAGGGATGCAGCTGCCAAAAATGAAAAATAAAAAAAAACAACCCTCTTCCAAATACAGATTAAGTTAGGTTATTTGGTATTGAAAAGATATTTTGAGACTGAAAATATGGTGAACAAATTTGAAGTGGAGCAATACAAGAGACTCAAGGTTTTAGAGAAAAATGCAGACGGGAGTGCATCCATTCTTAAAGACGCAGCTGCTCAGAATAGAGAGGAAATTCTCAAAGCAGGCATTACATTTAGGAGTGAAGTGCGAAAAGTTCCAAAACGGTAAATCTCAAGGAGGAAAAGTGCCAAAAAGCCTGTGAGGATACTGTATGATTACCCTGTTTCTCTTTAGCAACATATAAAGCAATTGCCAGACTTATAATCCTTCAATTGTAGCAATCATACTTTTGAAGAAATTAGTAAAGTTTATCCGTTTAGAATAAATGGTGATCAATCCTAAAGTTTAATCAGGAACATCCTTTTACTATTCTATGAAATAAATTTGATTTTTAACCACGATGACTCCAATTTAATGTCAACGAAACTAATTATTCTCCAATTTGGGTTCCCATGTGCTATTCTACAACAACAACAGAGGTTTTTTTTTTTTTTTTGTCCAAAGCTACATCTATGGCCTACCAAAAGATTCAATGAAAACAAATATTCTTGCAACCACATCAAGATGTGTCAATCTGGCCAATTTGTCCCTCTTCTAACAAGTTACATTAAGAAAGCATTACTTTTCTCAATGGGAGTTTCCTAGGTCTACTCAAAACATGCTCTATTCGTCTAAGTTGACCTTCATTAATTAAATTTAAATGTTATCACCTTTACTTGTTAGTTTATATCCTCATTTCTTATTATCTCCATTCTAGTATGGTTCTACATCCATTATGATATCCTCATTGTGCTCTATTTACTATGAGCATTTTGTCCTTTAGTGGTCCAACTACATTTTTTACAAAATATAGCTGGTACATCCAATTACAAAAAATCCACTTCTACATCCATCCAAATGCAGTAATTTAAATAATTGAATACATATACGCCATGGCAATTATGCAATAAAAAACAAGAAAATGCCATAAAATTCACATTTTTCTTTACCTTCCTCTTGTGCCAACTGGATTGTTCTTTTCTCCAACTCTACAGCATGCTTACTCAGCTCGGCAGGGGACAAATTCAAAAGCTCTTGTGTAACAGCAAAATCGAAATTGTCAAACAATTGAAGCTTAGACACGCATTATATATATGTATGTATGTGTATATATATATATATATATACGGAAATGATTTCTTAAACACTGGTGTTTAACTTATGTTAAGTATTGATACCATGGCACACAAATTAATTAGTGAATAAGTTAATGGTAGGTCCCATGAATTTAATGATTCGCCAATTAAATAGTATGTCATGTCACCGATGTTTAAAATAAGCTAAGCACCAGTGTTTAGGAGATCATTTTCATGTATGTGTGTGTGTAACTCATAGAAACATAAGAGCTCACTTTGAATATACTCTCTTTGGTTAGTCTTTACGAGCTCGGTACTGTTACTGATTTGACTGATTTGATGTGATTTCGACTGAAACTATGTATAAATAGTTGAATAGGACTCTTGTAAAGGGCAAGTGAATTCATATAACGACTCATGGCACAATCACACTTCAAAGACATTTTTTGTGGTCTTTTTCAAGAATAAATCGCCTTTTTTTCTTAAAGTTGGTTCAAAATTATCCTTGCTCATTTTGACGTCAACAATCCTTAATATAAGTTTTCTTTTGAGGGATTTCCTGCAACAATTGGCTCTCTTTCTCAACTGAGACTATCAGAATATTTTTCCATATTCACAAGTCTTCCCCTCGCTAGTTCAAATTCAAATGTTCTACGGGCCACCATTACAAGCCACATATAGATTATTAGAACTTGATGGGGACTCTGGTGTCAGTCTTTTGGTCTCACATACCTTAATTGCATTGCCGGATGGTCTTCCCCTTCCTAATGGTGGGCATTCTTGGGCGGACGGGGGGCATCGGGTCACATGACCCTCCAACTTTTGGAAAAAAAATTGTTTCTTTTTTTTTCTTTTCTTTTAATTGATTGAAGAACATTTGACTTAATCATATTTCACTACATCATGTATAACCACGAAAAGACTATGAGCATACGGAAAGGAAGTAGATAACATGAAAAATGGAATATCTATATGACATTTCAAAATTGCCCCTCAACACAAATGAGTGGCAACCAACTCAAAAAAGCAAGGACAATTGATAGTGAAAGCAAACAATTTAAGTAAATCTTGAGAGAAACATATTACTAAATACTAAAACAATATTAAAGGTCCGTTCAATAGTGATTATAAGAATTGATTTTTGACTGTTAGGGAGAAAAGGAGGGCTACCTGTGAGTGCGGAAGTAAAAAATGACGGCTAAAATAGTGAAATAACAATAAAAAATCAATTTTTCGACGTGAAAAAGCACTATCAAACAGGAGCTAAGTGCCTTAAAGTATTTAATTCTTGTATTAATATTCCTATAATTAGATTGCAAAAGGCAAGTCAGTTTTTAAAAAAAAAAATCCAAGAAAAAGATACACAAGCCAGAAATTTACAGAAAATTTTACACTTCGCTTAAATCACTTCAAAAAATCTCAAACTCAAAAATTCAACGAATCTGCCAATTAATTCAAGAAATCCATAGGAGTTTCAATATAACTCCAAAATCATTATGAGGAAATAAAAAAAAAATAAGAAATATAATTTCAATTTCCGAGTTTGCTAAATTCTAATAAATATAATGAACGGATCGAGTATTGAAGATTAAATGGCTGTGATTTTAGAAAATGGACTGAGAAACTTACTGTTTTGGAGGTTTTGGAGGGTTGCAAGAGACGGCGCGAGAGAGGTGCTGGTTTTGAAAAGAAGGGTAGTTTGGCTCCAAAGCAAATGACCCAACTGGCTTTTTTTGGAGGAATTTTTTGAAATGGCCTACATATGTAGGATGTGACAAAAAGAGCATTATTTTTGTTTCTTTCATGAAATATTTATCTCGGGTCAATTTGATTGCAAAAATAGAATTTGAGTGAAAAGAAAATGAATTCTAAAGAATTGAATTGTTTAGAAATTATTTTATTAGGAATTGTCAATTATTATGTCTGATTGGTATAATTTTTCACGTAGAAAATGTTGAAATAAAAATATTTTTTGGTTATCGTTTGACTTTGTTTTACATGAAAATTGTCAATTAAAGGGATAGAATTTACTGATACTGAGAATGGAATTTGTTTCCATTACCCAAAAAAAAATAATAATAAGAAAACCAAAAATCATTCAAAAATCATCTATGTTTTGGTGTTCATTTGACTTTTTTATATGAAAATTGTCAATTTAAGGGATATCATCTTTTACAATTGCTTCAAGAATTTGTTTCAATTGTCCCAAAAAAAAAAAAAAAAAAAAAAAAAAAAAAGGAAAAAAAAAAGGAAAAATTAAAAAACCCAAAAAAT